GTCTAGTGGTTAGAGCAGGGGGGGTTAGGGGCCAGGATGCCTGGGTTCTCTCCACGGCTCTGGGAGGGGAGTGAGGCCTAGTGGTTTGAGCCCGGAGGCAGGACTCCTGGGTCCTCCCCTCACTCTGGGAGGGGAGAGGGGGCTAGTGGGTAGAGCAGAGGGACTGGGGGCCAGAACACCTTGGTTTGCTCCTCGGTACTGGGAGGGGAGTGAGGCCTAGTGGTTAGAGCTGAGAGGCAGGACTCCTGGATTCTCTCCTAACTCTGGGAAGGGAGTCGGGTCTAGTGGTTAGAGCAGGTGGGCCTGGGGGTCAGGATGTTGGGGGTTTTCTCCCTGCTCTAGGAGAGGAGTGAGGTCTAGTGGTTAGAGCTGGGAGCCAGAACTCCTGAGTTCTCTCCCTGGCTCTGGAAGGGGAGTGGGGGCTAGTGGTTAGAGCGAGGGGGGGGGCGGGGCAGGACATCATGGTTCCTCACTGGTTGGTTGTGCTTCCCTTGAGGGCTGGGAGCAGCGAGGGCCCCCCCAGCCCGCGACCCAGAGGGCCCCCCCTGTAGCTCCTTCTGGATCCCGCTGGCCGTGTGTGCAGCGCTGGAGTTCGTCCTCCTCGTCGCCATGGGGGTGGCCCTGTGGAGGCAGCGGCGGCCACAGCCCAGGTAAGTCCTGGGAGAGGTGCGGGGGCCAAGTGGTTAGAGCAGGGGGCTGGGCCCCTTGTGCTGCTGAGAAGGGGCGGCCCCTCTGCTGACTCATACCCCAATTCCCTCTCTGTAGGTCCCAGCTGGGCAACCGTCCCACCCACCCCCGGCCAGGTAGGTGCTCAACTTTGTTCAGGGAGCTGGGGGAGGGCGGAATCTCTTACTCTCACCCACTCTCATGTAGTTTCTTGGATTCCAGATCCCGCAGGGCTCAAATCCCAGATGCAGCTGTACGAGAACGTGGGGCCCCGCAGCACAGGTGAGAGCCAGCCGCCCCCCGGTCGGGGCCAAGCCCTTGGCCCCTTCTGCCCCCCCAGCCAGCCCCATTTTGGGGGTGACCGTGGTACCCTGTCGTCCCAACAGGGGGCGCCGATTTGGCCCAGCCGTGACGGGTACCCAGAGCCCCCCCAGCCAGGCCAGGGGCTCCCTGAGGCCACCAGGGGCTTGCCAGGAGGAGGAGCTGGAAGAGGAACCCAGGCATCCGGCCCCCACTACCTCCACTGCCGTGGAGTGGGGCTGTGGGGCAAAGGGAGGGTGGGGGTTGGGGAGTGTTTGCAATAAAGCATGGAGCAGAATCTGAAATTGGCAGGTGGGGCTGAGGGGACATAATCGCACACACCTCCACTCAATGCACACACACAACCCTGGGTGCACACACTGCCACACTCACCCATGCACAACTGCACACACACACACACACACAACCACACATGCACACACAACCACACACCCCACCGCACACACACAATTGCACACACACACACAACCCTGCACACCACCACACACACAACCACACACTCTGCCACACACACCCCCTACCACATGCACATAAAGAACTGCACACACACACCACCATGCACACCCCACACACACACACACACAACCATGTGCACACACACAACCACATACAGAAAGCTGCACACATGCACACAACCACATGTATACCCCCTCACACAACTGCACAAATACCAACACACATGCATACACACAGCTGCATGCATGCAAACAACCGTACACATGTACACAGCCACACACAACAGACAACTGCACACATGCACACACTCAGCCACACACACACACATGCACACACACCCCTGCACTCATGCATACAACTATATGCGCACACATACACACACAACCACAGACACACAACAGCTTGCATGCAATTAACCACATGCACACAGTTTCACACATACACACAACCGCAGACACTCACTTAACCACAATCACAACCACATGCACAGAATGAGACAGACAAAATGACACCACACACACACACACACACACACACACACACAGAAAACCAAACACTGTAACACAGTCACACACACTGACAACCTCAGATGCACTGAGACAATCACACCTAGTACAACAACACCCCCACAATTATATGGAAAGTGCCCCTGCCTTCATGCTTCACACCCTTGTGTGATAGTTTTTGCACATAACACAACCCAGAAAGGGGCATTTTACCACCCGGGTAAAACCTCTATGTGCCGGCAGCTCCCCAGAGTTCAGGCAAGACCAGGCCGGGGAAGTGGCAAAGCAATGTGGCCGTGCCTCAGTTTACCTGTAAGTCACAAGCCACGTTCTTGAGCCAAGAGGGAGAGGAGGCTAGGCCGCAGGTGTGTACAGCGGCAAACTGGTGTGTACTGGTCCCTTCTGGGGCTCGGAGCAGCCGGCTCTGGGGTGCCCCGGGGGGCGCCAGCCGCCACAGGGCAGGAGAGAGGGTGATCCAGGCGTGGGGCGTGTCGGGGTTGCCCTACAGGGTATGAGCATGGGCCTACGGTGTCGTCAGCAGGTTGTAGCTACCCCCAGACATCCGGGGAGGGGGACCTGCCAGGTGGAGGTTATGAGCGTCAGGGGGCTGGCGAGGTTGTGGGGCAGAGGCGGGGGACACAGGTTGTTGTGGGTCTGAATTTCAGCCCACAGTGTCACAGCCCATGAAGACACACGCCACACAATCACACCCAGAGAGACCCTCCCACAATGCCACAAACACACACCATCATGCACACACAGAACCCCCCCCCACTATCACACACACACACCACACACAGGCAACCCCCCAAAACACAGTCACACACAGAGAAACTTCCCATAATAACACACGCAACACCCACATACAGAGAAGCCCACACAATAACACAGTCACACAACCTCCCCCAAATTCCTACAGTAACACAATCACACACCACTCACACAGTGTCCCCAATAACAGTCATACACACCATGCACAGAGAAACTCCCACAATCACACAGCGAAACCTCGCACAATAACACAATCACACACCACTGAATGCACCCAACAAAGCAGACCTACAAACAAACAGCTCTGCAGAGGACAAGGCAGAGCAAACCACACACACAATTATGCAGAAACACACGACACAACAACACACCACAACAGGCGCACAGATACTCCCAAGGAAACAATCCACACACCGCAAATACCACGCACATATAACGACGCAGCAAAAGCAACGCTTGCCACACACACCACACGACGACAGGCACATTCACACAGCTACACCCAATGACTCACACACGCACAACTTCACAGCAAGACAGAAAGGCAGCGACACCCAATCACACACACACACCAACCTGCCCCCTTGCCCATGTGACCGAGGGGGCAACACCACACACCTGTGCCCTGCCTACACCCCCCCCAAGCCCCTCCACACACACAGCTGCACTGTACCCTGCCCCCCACATGCCCCATGCACCTCCCCCTCCCCACAACCTGCTCCCCAATCACAGCAAGACAGAAAGGCAGCGACACCCAATCACACACACACACCAACCTGCCCCCTTGCCCATGTGACCGAGGGGGCAACACCACACACCTGTGCCCTGCCTACACCCCCCCCAAGCCCCTCCACACACACAGCTGCACTGTACCCTGCCCCCCACATGCCCCATGCACCTCCCCCTCCCCACAACCTGCTCCCCAATTTCACATGCACACACCACACACATTTACAACCGCAACATGCTCTGTTCCGCAATCTCACACCCCACAAGCCAGCCCCTCCTACATCTGGGCTCTCTTCTCCACACCCACAACCTGTCTGCTCTCGCCCGGCTCTGGGGCGAACTCCGTGTACTGCACAGGGAATTTCTGTCCCCCACCCCGTCACATTCCTAGTGCGAACAACACAACCACTCAGCTCTGACACACTTGGCCCAGGCACAGCCCTTGCGTGTCCTAGATACCCCACAAGCCAGCCCCTCCTACATCTGGGCTCTCTTCTCCACACCCACAACCTGTCTGCTCTCGCCCGGCTCTGGGGCGAACTCCGTGTACTGCACAGGGAATTTCTGTCCCCCACCCCGTCACATTCCTAGTGCGAACAACACAACCACTCAGCTCTGACACACTTGGCCCAGGCACAGCCCTTGCGTGTCCTAGATCGGGGACAGGGCGGGGCGGACAGGGGCTGTGGGTCGGGGGTGAGAGGCACCGGCAAGGCTGGGGGAGCCCAGGGCTGGGGGGACAGGGGCTGTGGGTCGGGGGTGAGAGGCAGCGGCAGGGGGGGGGG